CCACCACCACAGAGACTGTGCCCATCTAAGACACACTAACAATATGTGTATAAACCCCCACATTGTTTGAGTTAGGTAAACACCATTTGTCAAATATAGATACCGTATTGTTCTTAAAAGATTCTTCCCCTTTCCCCCCCCCCACTTTGCACGCGAGAGATAACGTAAAGTTTAGAGGTTGGTAAATGTTAATCTTGTTTAATAAGCTGTTCACTTGAGACAGTTTAGCAAGTCCCAGCTGTGTCTGGGTACAAGTGACAGGATGAACAACCCAGTGGGTGTTCTTCCTATTGGGGAGTGTTGTACATGATGTTACGGCACTGTGGTCACTCACAGGATGAGTAACGCTTCCCAGTAAATTTGCCCCATAATTTTGGGCAAAATTAACACAAATCTCTCTCACCCGTTCACTCACCCCTCTCATTCACTCCTCTCACTCTCTCCTCTCACTCATCCACTCTCCAGTATGTGTTTTGACACAGAAGGATCAGTAGTCCTCCACAGATCTCCAGTATCAGCTAATGATACTGGTAATGGCTCCAAAGGGCCACCACTTACGAGCTATTCATGCCCGTGCCACCTTTTGGGTGCCTTTACCTTCATCAATCATGATCAGTAGTGACAATGATGCCAGCAGATAACAGCAGCTGAGAATGAACGTGAAACGGAAATAACGCTTTCCCTCATTTAAAATTTCAAACCCCCGTTAACGGTAACTTGAAGACGACACCTCGCTGAGGCTCCCCGGTACCACGCTTAGAGATCAACTACTCAGCGACATAGATTCAGAGACTGGATCTATGTCGCTGTGTTGAGAGGGTAACAGCTGGGCGGTTTAATCGTGAATACAGAGAAACCACCGGATTACCGGTTTAACGCGAAACATTATTATTAACGCATTGGGCAACTGTCATCATAGTGACTTATGTTCTTTTACGCTTTGCTTCCTCTTCATCTTCCTCGCTAGCCTCATATTTCGTCACCTTCCTGTGGCCGGACAAGGTGTTTGCAACACGCTTGCAACGACCCGTGGATGAACCCCTTGAACATCGTCAAGTCAGTTCCAGGCTGCAGGCGGCCTATGGAGAGCAGGGAGTAACCCACTTTGTTTACCTTCTGTGTGGAGCTGGCCACTCAGGAGCCGACATGCCATTCAGTACGGTGCAGGAGGGAGGAAGCTGCCCCTGGCCGAGGCTGCTTCCTGGAACACAGGAGTGTTCCAGTAAGTGTTCCAGGAAGTGTTCCATCTGGGTGTTTCATCTGTCTCTTTCAGAGGCTACTCAAAATTCAAATTCAAATATTTACCCGAATAAACATTTGAATTTGAATTTTGAGTAGCCTCTGAAAGAGACAGATGCCCTAACGGACAATTGTGGGGGGGAGGGGTGGTACCCCCTTACCATTAGGGACGGTAAGGGGTACTCCCAGTAGCATAAGGAGTAAAGGGGTTTACCCCTTAGGGACGGTACCCTGAGGGGAGGACAGGAACTAATTAATAACGGCGGAACTTAAAATTATGATAATTTTACTGATATTGAGAATGGTTAAAATTATCGTCTTCGTCATCATCACCTTGATAATCATGGCATAAATTATAATAAATACTGTAAATGTAACACTTTCTCCACTCTCTTGTCTCCTTAATAGCCTACTCACATTCTTTCGTAAAAACTGTACGTTTATAACTGTTTTAAATCGCATATAATTCTGGCCTTTGTTATATATTTTTTTTATATAATTTGTTTAGTTTATTGTTAATGGGATGACTTGTACAGCTGTTCAACGAATTATAGGTTATGGGGGAGAAAGGGAGGGAGGGAGGGAGGGAGGGAGAGGGAGGAAGGAAGGGAGGGAGGGGGGGAGAGGGGGGGGAGAGAGAGAGAGAGAGAGAGAGAGAGAGAGAGAGAGAGAGAGAGAGAGAGAGAGAGAGAGAGAGAGAGAGAGAGAGAGAGAGAGAGAGAGAGACAGACAGACAGAGAGAGGGGGCGGGGGAAATGGGGAGGGGTAGGAAAAAGAATTTCTCCGCATTCACTGCTTCTTGCCACACACG